ATACACTAATTGTTCATTCAGTATACCTATATAGGTAAAATCACACATAAAATTATAAAATCATCCAGACAGAAAAGAGATTAAATGTTGAGGAAAGAAGACTAAGCTACTAGTGCTTCTTAATTAACATTAGGCTAACAGTCCCAGTAGTATCAATTTCAGTTTTACTAGTACCTATTTGTTAAATAATAGAACCTAATTATGAAATAGTATCTACTCCAATTGTTTAACATTTCTTTGTAACATCACTAATTACAATTATTTTTTACATGTCTCTGACAAGTCAGAATGGATACTTTCGTTACAAAATCATATTAGTTAATAACTGGAATACAAACTAGTGTCTAATAATAAAAAAAGACTGTACTATTGTAACTGTTACAAGTAACTAAAGAATTAAAACTAGTCCCTATTTCAGTAGGACCTACCTGCAAATTGCGTGATTTGTTTGTATTATCACTATAAAAGTGACTGCTAGGAAAGGTACAGGTCGTTGAAGCTAATGAATAGTCACTAATTCAATAGATACTTGTCAATACTGTATAACAGTGGCTTATTAATAGTAATTACTGAAATACTAGTTTCCAATCAGTAAGTAGGCCTACTAGTATTTAATGGACAGTTAGTGACACTGAAAAAGATAGTTGGATAATTGTTATTCACTAACAATAAGCAGCTTTGGAAGCCAGCCCCCACCACCAGATAAAAAAAAAATCAAATAAATGTAATGGTAGTCTTTCTGACTTTTTCATAGCAATTATTTTTCCCCTTATAATTTTCTCAGATATATAAACTTGCAGTTCTCAGAAGAAAACTAAATCTGATTTGCAGATTCTGACTATTTTCTACGGTGGCCGAGAGAGCTAAACACGCTGCAACTTCAGAAAACACATGCAAATAGAAAAAGCAACAGCAAATCAAGAAAACATCTTCATCAGTTTGACAGCAGGTGCTGCAAATTCTCAAAACGCAAACAAATAAAGAAACGCACTGCAAATGCTCACAACACAACCAAATAAAGAATTGTATTTGCAGCGCGTTTCTTTGTTTGGTTGTGTTGTGAGTATTTGCAGCACGTGTGTTGTCAAATTGATGAAGTTGTTTTCTTAATTTGCAGGTGCTTTTTTCTATTTGCAGTGCGTTTCTTTATTTGGTTGTGTTGTGAGCATTTGCAGTGCGTGTGCTGTCAAATTGATGAAGTTGTTTTCTTAATTTGCATGCGCTTTTTTCTATTTGCAGTGTGTTTCTTTATTGGGTTGTGTTGTGAGCATTTGCAGCGTGTGTTTTGATGAAGTTGTTTTCTTAATTTGCATGCATTTTTTTCTATTTGCAGTGTGTTTCTTTATTTGGTTGTGTTGTGAGCATTTGCAGCACATGTGTTGGCAAATTGATTAAGTTGTTTTCTTAATTTGCAGGTGTTTTTTCTATTTGCAGCGTGTTGAGCTCTCTTGGCCACCGTAATTTTCCCTCACAATTCTGAGTTTATATCTCGAAATTCAGAATTTTTTTTCTCATAAACTAGGTTACTTCTTGTGATTCTTTTTCCCCCAACACGGACTGAAAAATAAAAAGATAATTGTGACTTTTTATCTCACAATTCTGATTTTTTTTTTTTTTCAGAATTTCAAATTTAGACTGGCTCTCCAGTACAGTGTTAAAACACACACACGCATCTTACTCCAACTCAGACTATTTCTATAGTATGCAGTATGCATTATTAGTATATAATTTTCCTGTATGCATAGAGTACTCTGTATGTATTTCACAATATGTGCACTGAACAACCAAAGACAGGGACTTGTGGAACAAGTCCACCACAAAATAAAAAAAGATAAAAGATAATTGGGACTTTTTATCTCACAATTCTGATTTTTTTTTTTTTTCAGAATTTCAAATTTAGATATAATAGCTTTCCATGATACTAAAGTGTTTTGCTCATTTATTGCTGTCAACAGTGCAGCCATCTTGCTAACCAAAGGTTATGAAAAGTATGCCCCCTCTACTCACACTACATTTTTTGGAAGGTAATGGTACTTTTCCTTGAGTATATTTTTTCAGTACTCTTTCCACCACTGCCCCCTTCCCATGAAAACAAGTTTCCACAAAGTAGCACACAAAGGTATCATAAACAGTTATTTCTACGGAATGATGTTCAAACGGCTTGCCATAAATCAGCGGCCTCTAAATGCCCCTCATAGGGGTGTCACAAAAGCACGCAAATAGGCGGCGGATGATGCTGGGTTCAACCGAGTGCATTGATTTCTCCGAAGTCTAATGCATTCAGAGAGTGGTTGTTTTGCGCGAGATGCGAAGAGTAATGTCATATTCTGCCTTTTTTTCCTCGCGCGAGCTCCAGTTTGTACCTTTTTCCCCAATTCAGTGGTGAAATCCACGGAATGTGCCATTAACAGGAACAGCTGAGGATCATGCCGCACCGAATATGGGAGAGATGTGCAGGATTACAAGGAGAAATGTCCGCGACTGAGATGCTCACAAATTAACAAGCAGGTAACGCACGCGCCTGCGTCTTCGTGTTGATGGCGTGGATTTCCGTGGGTTTTCACGGTCTTGAATGCATCGCACTGAGGTATCGGCGTGTTTTTATGCGTCGTCCCCCTAAAGCCTTGAGCCCCTCCTTGTTTTGTTGCTGTAACGCTGTAATGTTTACATTGGATTGGAAGTGCATGGATGGATGTGACGCTGTTTTGCTTGTCTCGCGCTTGCTTCAGATGTGCGTGATCGTGTGCACATCTGCTAGAGAACGCAGGTTACGCTAGAATCTGATTTATTTTAGTTATTTTCCCGTGAGTTAAACAGTAGCAAGGAAGGTTACATTGCGGTGTTTTCTCTGCAGTGAAGCCAGTCGAGAGACTATTTGTAAATGCTGCACAAATCATTCTGACCTATGCGTACTCAGACGAATTAAACTCAGATTCTTGTAAAGAAAAATAAATGCTACACTTTGCCCTCATAGTTCTTATACAGTCTGCTTCATGCGCTGTATGATGCATTATTCTAGAGCAAATCAAATCTGTATTTTTTAAAGATGTCAGTTCATGAACTAGAAAGTGCATGGAATAAAGATGTTACTTCGACCGCCCCTCAAGTACAGACGCTTATATGTGTTTCTGTCCGCCGGCTCGCCATTTGGCGCAAGGCTTATGTAACAGACTGGGCTGTGTCACACTGTCTCTGATGGAGAGGCGGATGAGACATGCTAGAGAACACAGTTAGATGCTCCCCAACATGATGTTCTTTCCTGCTTTTCATTTAGTCCACAATAATAATAACAACAACACCACTAATAATAATAATAATAAATTAAATTGTTATTATGCCATAATTTAAAACAATGATTTGCAATGACATTTTGTATCATACATAAAATCACAAAAACAGCTGAAGCATGAAAACTTCTAAATGTAAAGAATTTCTGTTTCACTCTTACTCTTCCATTTTATTTTCTAATCATTATCACCATCATCATACTGTAAAATAACATTAAAGAAATGTTAAACTTTGTAGTAGGATGATGAAACATTTAACTTGTACATTATTTGCAACATAAATTGTGTATAATATAGTCGTTTGCATGTTGCAGCGGTTTAGTGAATTACTCTAACAGTTCTGTAAAAACTATACATTCTATTTATCTCTTTCTTCATTCCATTTATAAGAGCTATGAAGCATTAACATATAGGAGATGGTCAATTTTTATAAGAAAACATTTAAGAGAACCATGAGTTATCATTGTGGGTAATCAGAAGTTCAGGAAGAAGGACTTCCACTTGCAATGACTTACGTTTGTATTTATTTGTTCTTGAAGTATTGCTCTGATTGTTTGACATGCTGTTTGAACTGATTTAAGATTTTATTTACCTTGTGAATTGCGTTGTGTTGAAAGAATTAAATAATTAAATGCTGTCTTGCTGAATTCTAATATACAACATGATTGTTGCATCACCCTTGTTTGATAACTGCAACATAGGCCTATCCCTTGTGACAAACAACATCCCCTTTATCTGGGACTACCCATGCAACCTCAAAATGAATGTCAGTGGTATAATAAATCATCACTGATGCTCTGCCTGCTATGCTTATGTTTAATGTTTTGACTTCTGCACAACACAAATCATCTGACTCCATTTGTTGGATTGCAAAACCCTTTTGGGAGCTGAAATGTACTTTTTATGTTTTCCCACTTGGTTTGGTTTTTGCGATCTAGCGATTTGCATAGATTTTGACATATATTTGAATGCTCCAAAAGGAGAAAGTAAACCATCGGAAACAAAAAAGCACTGCAGGCTTCACATTTGCATGAAAGTTACTAAACTACAGAGGTGTAAATAGTACCTAAAAACCACACTTGAGTAAAAGTACAGATAAAGTACCCAAAAAGATACTCAAGTACAGTAACTAATTACATTTACTCCAATACTTTACACCTCTGCTAAACTATACTAAACTATGACATAAATATAATGTAATATTATTTTATAATGACTGAATTTGCTGAAATTTGCCTCTAAATATATATTTTATTGCATTCATTTATTTTAAGTTACAGAAAATAAAACTATATGTAATATATTTTGTTGTGAAAGATCCGTAAATCCATATGTTTTATTAAAAAAGCAGTTACATGAACCTCTGGCCTGTGCAATTTTTTTTCTTAAGCGGTGTTAAACATAACTAAGTAATTATTTTCAGTAATAATCTTTTTAAATATTATATTACAATCATTTTTAAGTTTGGTTGTTTTCTTGAAAAACAATGTAAATTGTTAATGGACTGCAGCTAAAGTGAACCAAAACGAGTGTGAATACAAGAACTAGGTACCTTTTTGATTCAATTCACTTTTTGGACCACTTAAAGTTGGTTTTAGTAAAGAGGAAGTGTGAAAACATCCTTGAAGTTGGGATCAGCGTGGAGCAATTCGACCAAACATCAGCATCTAAAAAGTGACTGGCTGTCTCCTTCTCTTGCGTGGTAGTTTTTAGAGGAAGAAGGCGTGACTACAGGCACACAACAATATTGAACTGCACCCATGTCACAGATCAAACCCAGTTTGAATGCATCGGACATAATATTAAAGGAAACAACAAGTGCACGCTATAACAAGTTTGTTGGAGCTAAGTTATCCGATGTTAGGCAGCAGAGGAATATGCAGTTTTTCTTTCTATGCTGAAGATCAACGCCTGTTCAACAACAACAAACTCGTGGACGTGAACTAGGAAACGGCCGATACCTCTGTGTTAACCATGACCGTCTGCTAGTTTTCCTGGACGATTTCTTCTGGATTAGTCTGTAAAATCACCAAACGAGACGTCCTGCATCGTGTTAGTCGACTAAAAGCAGCGCGTGGACAAGTCGGAAACTCGAGCGCCATTGAAAACAAGTAAGCTCGGCTCTTTTAGTGCGATCATACTTTGCTTATTGGAAAAAAAGCTGTCACATTCCACGTAAAATAAAAACGAGAACACTATGTATTCAGGCGTTTGCATACATGACGTGCAGACTGTCTTAATGTGGCGTTAAAGCTAAACCGTGTGTCTTTTGTCAGGGGTGCATCCCTGCATTTCCTGTTTGGGGCTTCATCTGCTCGGTCTGTATGCTAGCGATAGCAGCTAAGGGCTTGGAAAGTGCATGCGATTTGTTTAATCATTTTTATGCAATGTACAACCTCCGTGTAGCATTGAGAACCTGTTTAAAGAGCACGAGGGCAACTGCGGATGTTTGCGCGAGCTCCTGTAAAACTTCGGCCTGGCGACTTCTTTGTGCTATTGTTGATGTCCACTGCTGGGCCACGGTGACACTTATAAGTGTTTTATTCATGGGAAATGTGCACTGTCCTTATCTGAAGCATGAATAATGTTTAAATCATACCCACAAGCCCTTTCGAGTGATTATTTTTGATAAAGTGAGGCAGGCGAGGTTTGGTGGCGCTCCTTTGTTATTGCTTTGTCTGTGTGGGAGCACATGGCCCTCCACGCTTTTGTTGTTCAAGTTACAGCTCCCCCTCTTTGTGGCAAATCAGCCCAGTCTTTCCATTAAACACGGTTTACGCTTCCAGTGTGTGAAGATTTGTTGGTATTTGTTTTTTTTTATTTTACACATGGCACTGTAGCCTACATTTGAATGTCATGTATAGCACGATGAGAAGTTTAGACGTGCTAGCGTGAATTAATGCACACTCCACTGATTTTGAAAAGAGAAATGCAATAAAATGTATTTGAAATATATATTTTGTTATTAATTCTGATGCATTTCAACGTTTGTGCCCTGAAAAGTCTGGTTTTGTGTATTTTAAGCTCCCCCAGTCTACTTGTAATTCAAAGATTACGTCTAATGAAATAATATCACAATTCATAAATGAATACACAGCAGGTTGAGGCAATTATTGGCGTATTTTGTCTTAATTTCTTGGAAAATGACCTATATGTATTTTTCCCATTGAAAGTAGTACTAAGGAATAATTCACCAGAAATGTGTTGTTAGCTTGTGTGTTGTTAATTTTTAGTTGTCTACAAAAGGAGAAAATTTGAAGAATGCAAAGGCTTCTTTTTTTCCATACAACATATATAGTGACCACAAGCTCCAAAAAGCACCTTGGAGAAAAACAAACTGAAAGTCATTTTCACTAATGATTTGTTTTCAAACATCATTTGACATGCATTTGCTTGTTATACTGTCTAGAACAAAAGGATCTGTGAACATAATATATTGCAGTTTTTCCCCCATGCAACACATTGATCACTGGCTGTCAAAGTCAGTTGCAGTTTTGTGTTTACTACAAAAAAAAAATAATTGTATGTGAGGTTGGTCTTTGAACCAGGTTCCCCTGCATGTTAAACAAAAAGTGTAGACTATTTTGCCTCATGTTTTGAAATCCTGTGATTGTCAATGCTAAATGATGTATAACCTATTTGAAAGTGCTATATTAGAATTTAAATATGGCAGATACAAAGATGTTTTTAGTAATAATAAATTAAATGTTAAGCCTGTTCCTCATTTAAAGCTGTCTGAAGTTATGAGGGCTACTTTAATGGTGTTCTTTGTGGAGCTTGACAGACATGGTTACTATGCACAGTCAATGTATGGGGAAAAATCATTAAAAAAAGAGCATACTGGTTTGAAATGACATAAGGGTGAGTAAATAATGACAGAACTTTGGTAATATTAAGTTAATATAACATAAGTTGAAATGCACATGTAACGACTACAAAGGGTTCTGCTGATTTTCTCAAAATCATCATTCAATTCACAAAACCCATATTTCTTGTTTCAGAGCTCCGACAATCTGAGGCTGTTAGACACAAGTGCCTCTTGCACTACTGGTCCCCCCACCCCAGGCAGGTGTGACTCGTTCGTACGACGTCACAAATGCGACCATGGGAAGTAGCAGTGAGTAGGCGGCCATTAACAGCCCCCTTAAACCAGAGGAGGGTCGTCGGGGAGCCTTGCATCACACCTCTGCACCTCAGGAGAAGGTGAGGTGGCCATTATCATTTTGAGTTCATTAAAATCATATGCCGACTCGAGTATGTACTTACGATCTGTGTGTGTTTATGTCCTAGTCCTCCAGTACGACGTCAGTGGGGGCAGCGAGATATACCTGCTGTGCACACTTCCCTACATCAGGATGAGAACTTCCACCACCCTGTCTTCTCCCAGCATCAGCAGATTCCTTTAGATGAGTCCAGGCAATATAGCCACACCGGTGCACCTCCACGCATGCTGCATACTGCCACACAACCCCCCCAACAGAGCTCCATCATGGTGGATCTTCACGAACAGGTATTCGTTCAACAGGGGTCTCAAACACACATTTCCATCTAGGTGTTGTTCTCCACTAGAAACATTCATTTCCTGTTCCTTATATAATGCACTATTTGATGTTCACTATGTTTAAGAAGTGTACAAAAAATAAAAATATGAAAAAGTAATATCAGTATAAATAAAATAACAATACAATCAAATTTTTTGTGCTGTTTCTTAGGCTACAAGTGGGCATTTGCATTTTAATTTCAGGCATTGAAATTGATGTAAATATAATACATTTGTAAAAAATATCAATGTAAATGTATACATTTTTGAATAATACATTTATTGACAATTTTTTGTTGTTGTTACTTTGGCCAGTTACTTTTGCCAGTATTTGCATTTCAGTCCTTTAATATGTATAAAACAAATGTACAAAGTATAATAAATATCAATTTAAATGTATAAACACTATAAAATAATTTTTAATGTATATATTTCATTGTTACTTAGGCCACAATTGGGTTTTCAGGCCTTGATTATAAAAATATATTTTTTTTTATAAAAGGTATAAATGTATTAATTAAAACTATAAAATCTAATTTTGACAGATTTTTATTGCTACTTAGGCTACAATTGCGCTTTTATGTTTGTGTTTCAGGCCTTCAATAAATATAAAAATAAATTAAGAAAATATATGAAAATAAAAACATTTAATTGTATAAAAACTATAAAATCTAACTTTTTGACAGATTTCTCATTGTTACTTAGGCAACTGGGCTTTTATATTTGTGTTTCAGGCCTTTAATAAATATTAAAAAAAAAATTTAATTTAAATTTATAAATAAATATAAATTTCAAGCTTTCATTGTACGTTGGGCTACATTTGGGCAATTTGCATTTTAGGCCTTTTAATAAATAAAAAAATAAATACATTTAGAAAAATTATTTAAAAAAAAATCCTAAATCCGTTCCGGACCCTAAACCAAGCTGCAGAGCATGAAAGTTGATTCATGAATCAAATTTAAGCAGAAGCTGGTAGTTTGAGACCACTAGCATATAGACAATAATTGTATTACTCAGGCTTTGATGTGAAAGTGCTATGTGTAGACTGTAATTATGAATAGCTTTTTTTAACAAATAACCTGAACTTTTTGTGTTGTCCTTCAAGATGCATCAAGGATCAGTTCCGATATCTTACACAGTTACCACGGTGACGACCCATGGTTTTCCCATCCACACCGGGCAACCTATCCCAGCCTGCAATGCTCAGCAGCTCCCAGCATGCTCGGTAATGTTCAGTGGACAGCTCTCTCTGCTCTGCTGCCTTCCTCCTCCAGTGAGTTTGAAAAGGAAGAGCTGGAATGTCAGTGAAGTTTGTGTAGAGCACACCTAACATGTCCCATCGCTCCAGCTTTACTTTAGCCAATGTATGTGTGTCCCAGGCAGCCATTATGCCCACCTCTTAGCCAAAGATACTCTATTATGAGTGTTGTTCTGTATGTGCCTCTCATGCTTACACATTAGGCATAGGTAAACAGCTACATTTCACTTTTTGATTTTCATGTAGACTTTTCCTGTGTCTCTAGAATGTGTAATGACCTTTTTATGATGCAACTTTTAAGGGGCAATGTGCAACCCCCCTTAATTTTTGTTTGTATTGCCACTGCGAGTGTCTGGGGTATTTTATCTTTGACATGGATAGCAAAGGTGTACTTTCTGCTAATTGTACCATCTGCTCAAGTCATTGCGTTTGTGTCAACATACCCACCTGTATTTTTTGTGGCCACAGTGATGTACAGTTCAAAGTGTCTTGTGCAGGGATATATAATAGGGCTATATGTATTTTCAGTCTTCTTTGCATTATATATGCTTAATAATGAAGTTGTATAAATGTATATAGTTATATATTAATATTATTTTGATTATTATTGCTTTTATTATTCCTATTATATTACATTTTTATACAAAAAAAGAAAACAATAAAAGAAAAATGTATTACTTTTTTCCCCCAAAGCTTTCCCCATGCTTTTGAAATGGTTTATCAGATTCCTAAATAGTGCAGAATAGTGAAAACGTTAGATGTGCTTTACTCCAGAGTATGCTTTCCCAGTATTAACAGTCATTTCTTAAACTGCACAGCAATTCAGTATTCAAATGCCCATACACTTCCTTCATGAGTGTGTGTCTTGTGTGTTAGTGACACTTTGTTGTCTGTTATTTCTCTTTCTGTCTGTCTGTCTGCAGCTCATTCAGGCCTGCACCATGCAGCACCTGCCTGTGTCCTATCAGGCATTTCCACCATTGATCTCCAGTGAGCATTTTATCCTGCACCCCAGCCCACCAGTGCCGCCCCACCAGCCTCATCTGCCTCCACTCAACCAGTTTGTCCCCATACAGCCCCAGCACCCGCGCATGGTGAGTGCAGATCATAAAATCTTTGGAATGCATGCATTTTAAGAATACTTTTCCCACCAACTGGTCACAATGCACAACACTGCTGTATGCTGCGTTAAAGACGCATGCCCTCTCTGATTTGTAAACAAGCATGCATGAGAAGCACATGAAAGCGCACATTCACTCTCCGACAGCAGATGGCACTGAACAGCAGAAACGCAGCCCGGAAAACCTCGTGAACAAAGCAGCTGCACTACTTTGTTTCTGAATGTATAAATGATTTAAACAGCATTCAGATTTGTGTATGCACTATGGTGTTCATCAAAGCGCCAAATGCTTAAATATTTAGACTTAATAGGCAATTTATTTTCAAACTTTTTTACATTTTAATATGGACTTTCGACATGCCCTAGATATTGTTTGAAAGTGTTTTGAGTCTTTATTGTTCGGTCACACTTTACATTAGGGCTTCATTAGTTGACATTAGTTAATTAATTAGTTAACATAAACTGCCAATGAACAATTCTTCTAAACATTTGTTAATCTTACGTAATTCCAATATTTAATAACATGTTGTTAAAATCAAAAGTTGCAACTGTGTTATTTAATGAGCTAACATGAGCTAAGAGTTGTAGCCTATTTTTTTAAAACAAAGATGGATAACTTCTGTAGCAAATGTAGCTATTGCTCATTGTGAATGTTAATTCATTAACTAAGCTTAACTAATGAGATCTTATTGTAAAGTGATACCACTGTTGCCAACTCTCGTGAGACAAATAAGCAACTGCAGATTTAAAAACAAGCCCAGTATTTTTTGATGATTTATTATCATCAATATTATTTATTATATAATTTATTTATATGAAATATATTATTTATTAAATATATATAATATTATATTATTTATTATCAATTATTTATTACCAATAAATGAGCCTGCAACATATTAAACTGAAACCACTCTTTTATCTGAAAAGCAAAAACAAGCTATTTTACAAAAATCAGCAAACTGCAACAAAAGTGGGAACAAAACTCATCTCCAATCACCTGTGAGCAGAATAGGATTGGAGAGATGGAAAAGGAGAAAAAAACACAAGAGCTTCAAAGGGGAGCTGTAACATAGCCACATATTTATGTGTTCCTGTGGCTCAGTGGTAGAGCATTCGCAAATTTAGCAGCGCAAAAAGCCGTGGGTTCAATTCCCAGGGAACACACATACTGGTAAAAAATGTATAGCCTGAATGTACTGTAAGTCGCTTTGGATAAAAGCGTCTGCTAAATGCATACATTTATTTTATTTATTTATTTATAGCCTACTAAAATATAGGCTATTCGAACCATATTTACTCTTAGTATTAGTATAGGACTACTTGTTTTTTATTACAGCCCGTGATAATTAATACATTACAAAAATACGAACATAAATAAAGTAATGAAGTTGCTAGTCAGATTTCCCTAACAAGCAATCATATTTTTTTTAAAATAAGCCCAAAAAACCACAACCCACAACTCTGGATTTCTTCACGCAACTTTGCAAAAAATGAAGCCGAAAGTCGCGTATAATACGCAGACTTGGCAACTCTGAGTGATACCTATTGGTCTTTACAATTCTTTTGCACTTTAATCTGTGTAAAATTTTTAACTTTATACATTTTTTGTGTATTGCTTTATTGTATTTAAATGTTCAGTTATTTTTGTTATAAGAAAAAAGTTAATAAACCTGTTATACTGTATTATGACAACACTTTTTTGCAACTAAATTTCAACATCGTGATAATACTGTATACCGTGATTAAAAGCATTAGCAATAATTGCAACATGAAAATCTGATACCGGCATATCCCTAATATATGTGTGTGTGTGTGTGTGTGTGTGTATATATATATAATTTTTTTTTTTTTTGCGTGTTTTTTTTTTCTCCACTATAATTAAAATACGTAAATATATATTAAATATTATTTTCTTATAATTTTTTTTTTTAATTACAGAAAAAAACTTTTTTTTTGTGCATTTCACATAAGTTATGTTGACAACATAGGTGGGTGGCATGACCAAAATCATCTTTGCATGAGTAATTTTATATTAAGCTGTAAAAGTAGTGATAAAATAATTTTTACAGGAAATTCATCACAAAAACATTTTAAGTAGTCATAGTGCTTTTCATAAAAAAAAATGTAGTGAATAGTTTCTTTTGGTGGTAATTCAACATAAAACATTTATTTAGTAGTAGTAGTGATGTTCTTTTATATAATAAAACAATGTCACTTGAGTTTTGATTGTTCACTCTTTTGATTATTTATAATTAGATATGTTTCTTACCTGACAGATACAAACCAAAGATTTTTTTCTTAATCATTTTCACATTATGTCATACTTATTTAAAAACAAGACTCGAAACCATATATGCATTTATGTGATTGGATGAGCCAGTTTATTATTCCCAGTGTTGAGTGTAGTGCACTACAGTAATGTAATTACAGTTCAGACAGTCTTATTAGTAAAGCAATCCCATTACAATCTAGAGAAAACAATTAGTCATGAGTGACAGATTAGTCCCCACAACTGATTGTGATCTTAATAAATAATAAAAAAAAAAAAACAGTGTTAAACTGGTCCGACAAAATTAATTCTTTCTAAAATAGCACATGGTTTTATGGTATTAATGGTTGTAATCGTATGCTAGAGATATGACTTTTATACATGTGTGTTCAGCCTCTGCAGAGGGTAGAGAATGAAGTGGATCTGCGAGGAGACCAGCATCCGTTAGGAACATTCTCTTATCCTCCGGCCCACCATCCACCAGCAATGACCCCCTCCGTCCCCCTCCAGTACCTCCCCCAGGAGCCCCTCCATCAAGAGCTACCCTACGGAGTGGTGAGATGTCTTTGCTTTTGAATGTCAACAAAGCATAGAAATCACTGTAATCAAGTCAAAAATGATATACTGATTAAAATGAGCAGCATTTGCATAAACAGGTAATAACATTAAGGAAAAAATATGCACTTAATGTAGAGAACAGTGAAGGTTTACTGGTGTTGAATAGTGGTTATAGGTCTGCTTTGGCATGACAAAAATAGGTTATTTTATAGGTCATTTTAAATGTTTTTTTGGGGGGGATTTTGGCTAAACAAAGCATTGTCAAATAACAAGAAGTTAAATCAATTCTTTGTTTAGTGTTGGCCTATATGCAATATATTCAAGTTATGTAGCTTTGTGTTTACAATTGAACCGTTTGACAGTTGAACTGACAGTTGACACTTGGAGAAATATGGGATTTTTGATTGTATGCTACAGAAAAACAGTAAGTTCAACCAATTATGTAAAATTATGCTTATTAAGTCAGAAAGACGTGCTGAAATGGTGACCATAGCTCAAAGCTTTAGAAAGAAAATTGTCAGTATAAGCCTATGGGAAATGGGCAGTTTTTATCAAAAACTGTTTGTCCATTCAGTTATATACAGAATATACAGCACAACCCGAGTCAGGACAGGTTGAAAGACTGCCTAGTTTGGTCAACATAAAAGCAAAGTTGGCCCCATTTATGTACTTATGCATTTTATGTTCCTAGTTCCTGGTCTTATTGTGGATGGTTAAATGGTAGAAGTAACCATCTGGAATCAACCTACTTTGCCTTTCTATTGATGTTATTTAAAATGCACAGGTTATAGGATAATACATCTTCATTTTCCCTTTTTTTCTAAATTGGCCTGGTTTTGGCTTTGTTTTCTGACTGAAATGCTCTCTACAGTGCTTATAATATTATATATACAGTACGCATATTTGCATTGCCTTGACAGTTTTCTCTGTAGATCCCACGTGCTTACATGCCATGATTGGTTGATTATGTACAATGCCTGCATGCTATTGGTCAAACTACTTTTGACTCAAGTACGAAAACAATAGGAAAACAAATTAGAAATCCCGGCCAGGACATGTCCGGGAAAAGGTGAACGTATGGTCACCCTATTGGATAATATTAATCAATTGCCAAATAGCCACAGTTTTACTCTTTTCAGGAAATCAGCCCACAGGTGGCTTATGTCTGGTCCACTTTGCATAGTAAACTTGAATAAGGGAGTGTATTTCGCACACTTCATCTTTAGTCTCAGGTTGCTCCAGGGGGATTGTTCTTGTAGTATAAATCCTGCCAGAGTAGCTTTGGATGAGATTTGCTAAATGAATAATAATAATTCAAAAGGTTTTCCTCATGTGTTGTCGTCTGTTTCCTTAGCCATATCCGCACATGCTGCCGAGGCGTATAACTGGACAGAGGTATCGATTACAGCAGCCTCTGCCTCCCCCACCCCCTCCACCGCCCTACTACCCTGGCTTCTTACCATACTTCCTGTGAGAGTCTCTTCTACTCTTTATAATACAAATCAAATGCATTTTGCTTTGTGAATGTTTAATATTCTAATAATGGACAGTGGACGGTTCTGATTTTATAAAGCCTTTGTGATATGTTTCTACTATAGTGACACAAAAGGTGTGTATGTTAACGATTTATGTGTTTGTGACCTGAAAACAGTTCGATGCTTCCTGTGCCTCCAACAGCTGTGGGTCCTGCTATCAGTCTGGACTTGGATGTAGATGATGTGGAGATGGAAAACTATGAGGTAAATAGAAAATCCTTCCCAGGGTGGGTGATGGAGTTGCCCTACTGTTTATATAACCTGACTTGTCAAAAATAAGGCTTTGATGGTTTTCACATAATGTCTGTTCCAAAACCTAGTGAACTGCCTCACCGTCTACTGTCTGTAGCTAGCTAACTTCTAACGTTTATACACACATATTTGCAACTAAAAGTCATTTGTTTTCAATAAGAGTGACTCTGTGGGCATGTGCAGTGATGCAACAAAGTTGAAAAAGGTTAGCTTTATAGAATTAAAGCTAATTTTGGAAAAGAGATAATGTCATTATCTTGTTACGGTTTGGGTGAAGAGTTTTGAACACCTGTGATTTTTCTTTCAGGCGTTATTAAACCTTGCTGAGAGACTAGGAGAAGCGAAACCCCGAGGACTAACGAAAGCTGATATAGAGCAACTTCCGTCCTACAGGTTCAATTTAGAAAACCACCAATCTGAACAGACTCTGTAAGTGCCCTCGGTTATATAATCTTGAAGGTTTGATTGTGACTTGGTATTGATGATGGATTGTATTTAATTTTCTTACAGATGCGTTGTATGCTTTTGTGATTTTGAGTCAAGGCAGCTACTTCGAGTATTACCCTGCAACCATGAATTTCATGCAAAATGTGTGGACAAGTGGTTAAAGGTAAGAATGATGTTTTAATGCACAAAATCTGCAATAACTAATGGCGAAACCCTGTAAATATTAGTGTTCGACTGATACAGGTTTTAAGTGGCTTACGGTCTACAAAATGCTTATGTAGCCTATTGTTTAAAAGTATGAGATCAGTAAGATTTTTGAACATTTTACAATGATGTCTCTTATGCTAATCAGTGATGCATTTATTTGATCAAAAATACAGTAAAAACAATAATATGTGACCCTGGACCACAAAACCAGTCATAAGAAGCATGGGTATATTTGTAGCAATAGCCAACAATACATTGTATGGGCCTAAAATATAAATTTTTATTTTATTCCAAAAATCATTAGGATATTAAGTAAAGATCACGTTCCATGAAGATATTTTGTAAATATCTTACCGTAAATATATCAAAACTTCATTTTTTGTTAGTAATATGCGTTGCTAAGAACTTCATTTAGACAAATTTAAAAGCGATTTTCTCAATATTTAGATTCTTTTGCACCCTCAGATTCCAGATTAGTTTCAAATAGTTTTATCTCCACCAAATATTGTCCTATCCTAACAAACCATACATCAATGGAAAGCTTATTTATTCAAAATAAATTTCTAAATATCAATTTCAAAAAATTGACCCTTCTGACTGGTTTTGTGGTCCAGGGTCACATATTGTGACATATTACAATTTTAAACAACTGTTTTCTATTTGAATATATTTTAAATGTAATTTATTCCTGTAACGGCAAAGCAGAATTTTCAGCATCATTCCTCCAGTCTTCAGTGTCACATGATCTTTCAGAAGTCATTCTAATATCCTGATTTGGTGCTCAAGAAAAAATGAAGACATTTGTTTTTAATGCTGTCTTTAATTGCATAGGCAGGCGATGTATAGATCCATCAATAATGTATGGAAACATCTCTGGCTTGTAGAAATTAATCCGTAACATGTCTTGCAGGCCAATCGCACCTGTCCAATCTGTCGAGCCGACGCATCTGAAGTTCACCGCGATGTGGAATGAGTTCAGGTTTTTGTCCTTCACTGGAAAACAGCACAAATCCTTGAGTGTGTTCTGTGAGTGGGGACACCTAATCTCCAGCCAAACGCAAATCTACCCCCCACCCTGCTCCCAACCCCACCTCTACAATAAGCAATCTCGGAATTTGTACGGAACCTGTTTTACCTCTGCTGTTCGTCATTGTGTGAGTTTCATGAAAGCTACTGCCGCCTATAGCCACTTCGGAGTTCTGGAATTGTGACCGGGTTTTTTTTTTTTTGGGGGGCGGGGGGTTCTTTTCATCTTTCTTTTTGCATTACCCTGCCCTTGTTTCGGAGATTCCAAAGATAACCTGTAATACGTGTTGTGTTGGCATATTCGTTTACACAATTGAATATTCTCTAGTTGTTTGATCACAGATAATTAAAGTTGTGCTTTAGCGTTGTTAGGGACTGGGGGAGTGGGCCTGATGGTGGTTTTTGGCTTTACTGTGCAATCAGACGAGTCCGTAGGAAGCGGCTGCTCCGCCGGTGAACAACCATCATAGATGCATGTCTGTATAAGTGACGGGCTGAGGGACTTGTGGGCTGAGGGACTTGTTAATAATCTATGTTTTGCAATAATGTATTGATCATTTGAATATCTTAATCCCGATTCTCTTTTATCTGCGAATGCTGTTGTGAAGGTGTGACTTTCAGTGGTTCAGAGTTCCAAGGCCTGAGGTTAAAGAGGGAAACGTAGACAAAAAGGACTGCGAAACGACAGCCGTGAATCCATCGGGAAAACTCCCGCTGGGCTTTCACCACAGTCGTAGAGACATTGAGGAAGCCGTGGCGTTTTTTCGCTTTTGCTGTTTGCTGGCGAGGCCAATCGGACTGGCCCATGAGAACACAGGGACGAGGACAGCACACTGCCTCTGCCAGCTCCCACCTGGCTGCACTGCACAACCCCCATCGATTCTGGATTCCGCTCCCTCACACTCAGCTAGATCCAGGAGAACATCTCACGGGCCTCGCGCTGACTGTTCTTTTAGACTAGCAATATTTGAATTTACGAGATCCACCGCATTTCAGCCACAAGAGGAACGTCGGACGGCCTCCGTCTCGCCATTCTCACGTCTGGAGGCCGAGGAGCTCGCATTCGCCTGTCCAGAATGACTTTTTGGGAAAGGGTGGAACACTTTGCGGAAAGCAATACGTGCAATGAGCGTGTGAAGTGAACGCAACGTTTGACCTGATTTTGGAGGACTAGGCTTTTTGTTTTTCCTCATTTGTGAGCCAAATAATCAATATACTCTACAAGATTTTAGCTCTGCCTTCTCAAGACCTTGACAAGCACAAACCTGTTACTAATCTTCAGACATCCTTTGTCAGTTCCTCTTTTAAAAGTATGCGTTTTTTTTAAGTGGTGTTATTTATTTCTTCTTTCGCGAGAGTTTGTGAAGGATTCGGTCGGAATGCTAAAACATCTTTAGCGCGTTTTAGTTTGCCTCCGGTTGTCAGGTCTCAGGCCATGTTCACAGTGTAAAGTGATGTGAAAGAAAGAAAAAAAAAACATTGTATGCATAGCCTTGGTGTGAAATGCTGTTTGCTGGCGAGGCCAATCGGACTGGCCCATGAGAACACAGGGACGAGGACAGCACACTGCCTCTGCCAGCTCCCACCTGGCTGCACTGCACAACCCCCATCGATTCTGGATTCCGCTCCCTCACACTCAGCTAGATCCAGGAGAACATCTCACGGGCCTCGCGCTGACTGTTCTTTTAGACTAGCAATATTTGAATTTACGAGATCCACCGCATTTCAGCCACAAGAGGAACGTCGGACGGCCTCCGTCTCGCCATTCTCACGTCTGGAGGCCGAGGAGCTCGCATTCGCCTGTCCAGAATGACTTTTTGGGAAAGGGTGGAACACTTTGCGGAAAGCAATACGTGCAATGAGCGTGTGAAGTGAACGCAACGTTTGACCTGATTTTGGAGGACTAGGCTTTTTGTTTTTCCTCATTTGTGAGCCAAATAATCAATATACTCTACAAGATTTTAGCTCTGCCTTCTCAAGACCTTGACAAGCACAAACCTGTTACTAATCTTCAGACATCCTTTGTCAGTTCCTCTTTTAAAAGTATGCGTTTTTTTTAAGTGGTGTTATTTATTTCTTCTTTCGCGAGAGTTTGTGAAGGATTCGGTCGGAATGCTAAAACATCTTTAGCGCGTTTTAGTTTGCCTCCGGTTGTCAGGTCTCAGGCCATGTTCACAGTGTAAAGTGATGTGAAAGAAAAAACATTGTATGCATAGCCTTGGTGTGAAAGGTTGCAAATTATCGTCTTGTTTTTAAGACAAAAGAATGTTGAAATCCTCTGTATTTCTAGTTACGCCCTCTCCTGTGTGCCAGTTAACTGTAGTCGATCCACGAAGATCCCGGATAGGATTCGAAATGGCAGAGATGGAGCGTTAGGGTCGTTTAAAGAAAAAAATGCACTGTAAAACGCTTAACTCGTGGTTCACTCGATTCCAAAAACAAACCTGAACGTTGTTCAGGGGAAAACTATGAACTATTAGTTTTTTTTTTGGTTCCCTAAGTACTTTAATTATAGGACTTTTAAATATATATATTCATGAGTCATTTGTCCACTGAATAGTCATTGTAACTCAATAGACACACTGGCTTTCTCGGGTAAAGGGACTCTCTTAAGAGAATGTGAGTATCTTGTGTTTGCGTGCCAGGTTTTAAAAAAAGCCATTGTAATGAATTTAATCCACACTTTTGATAAGTAATCTATGTATACATATCTGTTCACTGGCATATATTTTGAGTATAATGGGGGGAAAAAATCACTCAGGGCCTCTCTGTAATTGAAAAATAAAGGAAAACAGTCCATTTCAAATTGGATTGACGCCATGGAGATATATTTGGGTATTCTGGGTTGTTTTCCTCAGGCCATGCATATTTTAAATGTAATCAACTGAACTAATATTCCTTTTATAAATAGTGGTGAATATTATTCCATTATAAGACTGGCATGCAAAGAAAAAAAAAAAAAGATGAAGTCACATGTTGTATCAGAATAGGCTTTTCGTCACTGCAGCCGATCATTAGCGTATGTTACTCGAACCTGTTTTCCAGCCGTTGCGTTTTGCCGTGTTCTTGTACTTGAACCAACATAAAGGTTGTAATCCCGCTGAAAAACGTGCCACGGTGCACACTGTCCTACCTAGACCACTTCCAAGACTATTCTTACAGTGTTTGCATGATTTAAGGATTCAAAAAAAAAAGAAAAAAAGTAAAAAAATGAAATCTGTATTTTCAGTGAAAGATATCTAGACAGGGGTGGGCAAGTATTTAATTGTACACAATATGCATGCGTGTCTAACCAGGTCCCAACTGGTTTTTAGGTAGATCTAGTTGGCTTTGGGTTCTGGGTGTAGGGGACTTTCTGCTCAGCTGATAACTGCCATGCACTGTACTGCACACATTTGTAATAGAACCGAATGACTACAAGATTTTATTGTGCTTGTACTTGCAAAAGAAGAAGAAAAATAATTAAAGACTAATAATATAGGACGTTTAAAATAACAACGTTAAGCTTGATGCCAGTGGGAAGACAGTGGCTTTTTGAAGTGGAAAAATGTGATTTGATAGGCTCCTCACCACATTTGTGCTTCTATTGTTGCCTCAGTTACTGACACACTTGCCTGGAATCTAGATAATGGAAAGCCATATAGTAAAAAGGTGCTAGATATTCATTCTATATTTAGGTGTAATGCTACATTCACATAAGAGAATGCAATAGTTTGTTATGGGTCTCTATTCATACAGCATGCAGTGCTACTAGTACCCTCACGGTGGTCAGAAACAGTTAATAACATTATCAACAGGGGTTTCAATTAAGAAAACAAACAGAAAAAAAAAAGAAAACTATTTAGCTTTACTTGTATGTGCTGGTAGACCGTTTTAAAGGATATTATTATGTTACTGCCCGAGTGATCAGATTCAATACATCTGCCTTAAATCGAAGTAGTAGGAGGTTTTGTGTGGGTTAAAAAACACGGTGTTGTCACTCATTCACCAAAACGGTCAGAAATATATGTACCTGTTGTACGGTTCTCTCTACCTTGAACATCTGTAACTGTTATGGTTTAAAAATAAGTTGTTGATATACACACAAGCACTTTTGCTTGGGGTAACCGGCTGTGGGCTATTTCTAATATATCATTATTTAGATTTATAAAGGAATTTTTCATAATAACCAAGATTCCTTGAAAACCTCAGTGTTACCTGTATTGAATTACTAAAGAGAAAGAAGAAAGAAAAAAAAAACCTATGAGTTATGATGATAAATAGAATCTTGTAGTCTTTCTGTGATTCAACTAATAAATAATCTCACAGCTTGTGTGGTGGAAAATTGTGTTCCAATAAGCAGCTAAATACTTTAGGATTTGTGATTTGTTGATTGCTCCATAGACGCCACTGATTGTTTACCAATGATTTATTGCTGTGGTGGGATAGTGGATTGTTTACTGTTCTATTCTCCTCCTGGCCTTTAGGGGTCAGTCATTGCCTGAACTCCAGACTACCCAGCCAACAACAGGGCCAGGGGCATGTGTTCTGTATTAGGAAGATATTTTGCTTTGGTACTTGCACATTTACAGTTACCTCATTTTTGCCATGTTTGTATTTGAAAAAAAAAAAAAAAAAAACCAATAAAAAAAAATGAAATAAAAAAGCTAATATATATATTATATATAGGAAATGGTTCGTATTGCTATAATTTTTTCATTCCATCGGAATCATTGTTTGTAGCATTTAACATATAACTAGTTATAGTGTATTATAAATACATCTGTATACTGATTGAAATTTTTAAGATTTGTACTTTTTTTAAATGAAAGTTGCTAGTTTTGCTTTACTGAGTAGTGCAATCATATTTTTTTTAATTGTGGCTGATTGGAGAGGGTTGTTCACTAATAAATGTGTGATGTATACTCATACTACACTGACTAAAGTAATCACTGCTTTAAACGTATTGCGCAATACAGATGTGTTGCAGTTCAGTTACTTGTCTGAAGGTTTCTGTCTCTCAAAAGAGTTCAAAGGTGAATCTCATAAAGATTGTTCAGGTCATTTTTCCCCATTTAATCCAAAGCAATAAACCTTAATCAGATTAGATGGCTTATTGAATTGAATGTGGATGTAAACAAGGCTGTCTTTTCAATGGCACACACTGTATACATCTTCGTATACATCGTTTTTTTTTTTTTATATATGTTTCACCGTCTGAACAATCGTTACTTTGTTAAACAACAGGACAATCCATTGAACGCACTGTATTTCTGTCACTCACAGCCTTGTTTTCATTCCTGTCAAAAATAGTGCACTACTCTGAGCAAGTTCTATAATATGTTTTGTATAAAACATTACTCACATTGCCACCATATCAGTTATAGGTCAGTATCTGCCTCTTTTGTTGTTAAATTTGTTTTAGGAAGAAATTAGACATTGTTTTAGTATGATTTAGGACAGCCATAGATTTCTTTTCTTGGAAAAAGAAGAATTTCAGATCACACACACACAACTCTCTAGAACATTACCAAAAATAATTCAAATTCATTGGTCTTGTTTCTGTGTGCGTTTTCTATAGCAGATTTCAAAATGAACATTCATGCAATATTATCATACATTATAATGTGGCATAGATTCACCTCTATCATACAAAAACATTGAAAGTATATTTTAAAGTATATATTTAAAATATCAGCCATTTATTGGTCATAAAGATATTATCGTATTGGCTAGAACAGGGCTGTCCAAACTCGGTCCTGGAGGGCTGGTGTCCTGCAGAGTTTAGCTCCAACCCTAATTAAACACACCTGAACCAGCTAATCAAGCTCTTACTAGGCATATGAACTTCCAGTCAGGTGTGTAGAGGCAAGTTAGAGCTAAACTCTGCAGGACACCGGCCCTCCAGGACTGAGTTTGGACAGCCCTGGGCTAGAATATCAATGCATCCCTATTTATTTTACTATTTCTTTTTTGCATTGAGACATTATTATCAATTCATATTCTCCGTGTTCATTGCTATGATACAGTAATATAAAATCAAGCAATGTGGACATAATTTATTAATTACAGTCAGAATAATGGCAGTATAACACACCATGGTATATAAATACTATACATGTTTTCTGCATTAAAATAATGTGAAAATGTCACAATGCAAAAAAAAAAAAACTTGACTATTTTGATTTAGTGAAATGTGACCCCATCTTCTGACCAGCTTTATGAGATTCATCCCAATAGTTCAAACTCACATTCAAACAGACTTAATGCTATAAAACGAGGTAATCTGGGTTACTGCCTCTCCAATTACTTTATACAATTTTACAATGAATGTGTTAAGTCATTATTTAGCACCATATTTTATTTCCACATACCTACAAAAATATTAAAATTGTCATGGCTTCAGGTTTGTGCAGTAGGCTGCAATGCAAATGTTGAACAAGCTTGAACCAAAACTTTACTCAAACCACAACAACATTTTAAAATGTTTAATTTAGAATTGGAAAATTACATCTTTACATGAC